AAGATGATCTACAAATGATAGGTTTTGCAGATGTCGGTTTCCTGGGAAGGTATCAGGAATATATGGGGATGGATGCGAAATCAACCAACATGATATCTGATATACTGTAGATGTATCATGTAGTATCTGGATCCATATGTGAACTTCGCTGCAGAAATCAACAGGCGATATCACCAACAAATTGCTGCGATTTGAGCGAGCAGACCGGGGCCAGTCTCACCATAGATTTCATCAGAAAACCCAAAAATGGATAAACATGGCGATGGTTGCAGAGCTGGTTTGATGGTTGGCCCATTTATAGATGGTGTACCTATTAAAAATGGTGATTTTCCATGGCTATGTTAAATAACCAGAGGGTATCTATTCTTCATCAGTCATCGACTGATCTTAAATTCGGATGATCCACCAGAGTATTCGGTGAATTGATTAGCGTATTGAAAAACCCCTGCTTCGGAGGATTCTCCCCAGTGGATTTCAGCTTCCAACCATCAAATTACGAAGCCATGCGACCCTCGATTGTTTGTGCAAACTGCGGCAGCGCCGCTCGCATCGCTCGCCACTCGGGGCAAGGGTGTGACCAGTCAGACGGGTTCATGATCCCCGGATGACGTCTTTGCGTCTTGGATTCAGATCCGAAATAAAGAAACCCAGTAATCAAACGTGGCTTGGAACATCACCCATTTATAGATGTTCTTGAAAGATTTTCCCATTAAAACCTAATTTATAGGGGATTTCTCATTGCCGGAGGACAATTTTTTAGATACATGATGGATTTTTCCATAATTTTCCTTGATTTGGTGACAATACATTGTTCTGAAAGGTCTTGGATGTAATTTCTGCAATTTTGCCGCATTCATCAGCATAAGCCAATATCTTGAAGACAACTTGAAGATTGATATTTATTTCAAGATCCTCAAAGACCTTAAATCCAAATTTTGCTAGATTTCTCTTTCATGGGTTTGCTTGAAAACAGTGTGTCCCCCGAATTTCTTGATTTATCATGTTTATTTCCTATCAATCTTGCCATTTGAATCATTTCCAGACAAACCCGCAAATCGAGATTGTTTCCACTGAAGTAGCCTCGATTGCCGACCGCTGGCCGTTGCCCCGTCGCATGGCTTCTGCTTCGACAACGGTTCTGCCGGTGAAAAAAGGGCCCTGTGACGTGGAGTGGGGATATGGCTTTGTCTGAAAAATGAGTACCCCATTCCATCCACGGTTTATCATCATTAAACCATCCATTGAAATGCCAGTTGGAAGTACATCCCATTTTCGGACACAGCCTATATTTCTGGGATGATACTGTTTTGGTTTCCAATGGACCTCTTGACATGTGTTCAACCTCCTGCTTCCGACATGAAACCAGATCATCCGGTTGGCCTCCGCATGCCCGATCAACTTTCCCGAGGCTTCTGCCTTTTTTTGGTCCAGGTTAGCATGGCAAATGGTGGATGGATAAAGACATGGCTATGGATGATGACAGGTACCTCAGGTACCTGATGTTTGATCCTTCGGTCAAAGAGACCAACTCAGAAAAGCATCTCCAATCAGCGTTTCGGAGGAAACTCGTTGGCAACAGCCCCGCGTAGTTCCGGTCATGTGACGCCAAAAATGTTGCGCTGGGTCTGCGTGCTTTGCATCCTGCATGGTGCCGTGCAGGTGCGGAAAGCCACCGAAGTGGCTGTCATTTGCCAATATTTTAATGACATGCTACAGGCAATCGACAAAGTCGTTCCTTTTTTAAAGAAATGTCTATATTTAGTTGCGTCGAAGCTTTCCCTGGAAGTCGTGCCTTTTTGCAAAACGCAAGCAAACTCTGGTGATCACAGCGCAACCATGTTTTTAAGTGTTTTTGTGTTTTTTCTTGCGTTCAGCTTGGGTTTAGGTATCTAGTTATGCTTAGGGTATATGTAGTTTTTGTATGTTTTTGTTGCGTTCAGTTGGGGGGAAACTTTTTTTTGTTGCAGCTGCTTTCTTATCAGTGACTTCTGTACGTTCAACTGTATTCAGCAACTACTGTTAAACTGCTGCTCAATTGCTGGCTGTTGCTCAGTTGCTGCCGCTGGCTACTGCCAAACTGCTGCTGGATTGCTTCTGAACTACTACCTACCGCTAGGCTTACGTCGTACCAAGTGACCTGAAGTCGTATCACACCTGCGTGCGCGCAGTGTTTCGTTTAGATTTTGATAGTTCTTTTCTTTATTTGACTGGCTGTTGATTTGAATTACTGTTTCATCGCCGTGGGCAGTGTATTGTTGACATGATTCTACTTATATAACCCTGTATGCTATTGATTGCAATCTTTATGGTGATGTCATTGTCAATAGTTCCGTGAGAGGCGTGCCCATTGAAACTTATCATATTTAGGTTCTGTATGGTTCTGTCCCCTCCTGTTGGAATCTGTGCCTGCTGGAATCTGCCTGCTTGTGCTCGGTTCTGCCGCTTGCGCTGGGTTCTGCGTGCTGCTGCTGGGTTCTGCCTGCTGGGTTCTGCCTGCTGGGTTCTGCCTGCTGGGTTCTGCCTGCTGGGTTCTGCCTGCTGGGTTCTGCCTGCTGGGTTCTGCCTGCTGGGTTCTGCCTGCTGGGTTTTGCCTGCTGGGTTCTGCCTGCTGTTGCTGCGTTCTGCCTGCTGTTGCTGCGTTCTGCCTGCTGTTGCTGCGTTCTGCCTGCTGTTGCTGCGTTCTGCCTGCTGTTGCTGCGTTCTGCCTGCTGCTGCCTGCTGCTGCTTGCTGCTGCCTGCTGCTGCCTGCTGTTGCTGCTGTTGCTGCGTTCTGCCTGCTGCTGCTGCTGCTGCTCTGCTGCTGCTGCTGCCTGCTGCTGCTGCTGCTGCGCCTGCTGCCTGCTGCCTGCTGCCTGCTGCCTGCTGCTGCTGCTGCTGCCTGCTGCTGCCTGCTGCACAGGGAAGAGAAAAAAGGGTGAAAGTGAAAGGTTCTGATTTGGAAAGGGTTATTTTGACGCTTGCGTTCACAATGGGGGAAGACCGAAAGGCATGACTTAGGCATGACTTCTTGATGTTGCGTTCACAAGCGGGGAAAGCGAAAGGAGTGACTTAGGCATGACTTTGTCAAATCCCTGTGCCCCAATGAAACAACCCAGGGGGTTATTAGTGATGTGGCTAACACAATAATAAACCATCCCCCAGTCATCACCATTTTTATAGGTGGTATGTTTACCATTCCCCAGTCATGGGTAGTAAAAATGGCATTGTTTTAACCACATCAATCCATATTCACCTATTTATTCCCAATAATCACCATTCAATCACCATTCAATCACCATGAAATCACCATGAAATCACCATGAAATGGGTTGACAGCCCCAGGTGCCCAGCTTCCTCCACTTCCACCGCGGTGTCCGCACCGCACCGCGGCGTTCAGCGCGGCGGTTTTTCGCGCTGCGGGCGCTGCCGCTGCAGCAGGCCGTGGAGCAGCTGCCGCCGGACGCCACGCTGCGGCTGCCGCCGGGGCGGCACGCGAACGCCGAGCCCATCGTGCTGCGGAGGATGGAGACATGGAGGGGTTGAAACCAGAAAACCCATGAAAATGGATGGTTTAGGGGTTTTCGATATCTGGTAAAATGGATGGTTTAGGGGTTGAAGCCAGAAAACCCGAAAAGTGCCGCCGAAGAAATCTGTTTAGAGGTACCTTGAAGAAGTATACGGACCCTTGGATTAATACTTTTATTGTAGGTCGGGGACCACTCTACCCTTCAGGTAGGGGTTATAGAAAACCCATGAAAATGGATGGTTGAGGGGGTTTCGATATCTGGTAAACTAAGAGTTTGCGAACTGGAGAAATGAGCAGTGTTCAAAAGCCTGGTTGGTTGATGATTATAGGGGATTATACTACCCGATATGTTGGGAATTATAATATTCTACCCCATTAACCAACCAGTTTAATGGAAAGACGGAGGGATTTTGATCACTGCTCAAATGAAGGAGTTGAAACCAGAAATTATGGGTAGATATCGCTATGGCACCCCCCTTGGAATTTCCTCTACAGAATAGCTCGTGAACCCCCCAAAACATCTAATTTGACATAAAGAGTCGATAGAGTAAAGAATGTAATACTGGTGTGAAAGCAGCGCCTCTCTTCCAGGTCCCATTTCACCTTGTGGCATGTATCGAAGCCAACTTGCTCAACTCAGGCGAGAAACTAATGCAAGCGGGCGTGGTGTTTGAATCTAGGAAGATTCCAGTTGTTCCCCAGGCGGGGTTTCTAACTGGCAGCGGAGTCTGAATAGTGACACCCGCAGACCTAGGTAGGTCAGGGTAGGAAAGCAGCGCCATGGATGTGAAATCAGCGGATGGCCAGTCGGGCCAATACAAGCGCTTCTCTGGGGCATCGTTGGATGGCAAGGAGCTCCGGAAGTGGCGTTTGTGGTGTGAAGCCAAGATGGCATCACAGAAGGACATGGAACTCAAGCAACGAGGGCCGTGGGTATTCACCCTACTGGATGGGCTAGCACTGGAAGCCGTAGAGCATCTCACCATAGAACAACTGACGAAGGAGGATGGGGACAAAGAGATCTGGAAGATCTTGGAAGAGCGTTTCCCTGACAAGTTGCAGCATGACCTCTTAGCAGAATGCCTGAAAGAAGTGTTCTCGCTGGCCGCACGAGATGGCGAGAGCATGGCTGAGTGGGCCAGCCGGGTCCAGGAGAGTTTCTCCAAATGCCGACGAAAGGTCTCAGTGGACTTCCCCTCTGAAGCCAGAGGCTGGGTGGTTCTCAACTGCAGCGGCCTCTCGGCCGATCAAAGGGCCATTGTGACCGCGAAGTCAGGGGGCATCCTGAAGTTCGAGACCGTAGTAGCGAGCCTGAGGTCGTGTTTTCCAGACTATGTCGTCAACTCCAAGACCAAGAAGGTCTCTCCAGTGATGGTCGTCGCCCACCAAGATGAGGTGAATGATGAGCCCCCTCCTGAGATGGATGCGGGGGATGCTGTTGTCTTTGAAGAGGTCGAGGCCTTTCTGTCTGATCACGGCATCCAACACACGGATGTCGAGCCTGGTGACTTTGACGAGACAGAGACGGCCGAGATCCTTGCTGCTACTTGGAAAGAGCGACGCACTGAGATCGCAAAGCTGCAGCGCAGTCGCAATTTCCGCCAGGCAGTCAAAGTGCAGCAGCAGTTCAAAGAGGATGTCAGTGAAGTAAAGAAAAGGACTAGGTGCCGTCGCTGCAACAAGTTGGGGCATTGGGCCCGTGAGTGCCCCCTCCCCAAAGGCGGCGGGAAGGGTTCAGGGTCCTCAGACAAGCCTTCTTCAGTGTCTACGGTAGCAATGGTAGTCGAGAGAGAAGGAGAGTCAGAACACGCAGAACCCGAAGAAGTCCTCCTAGTCTCTTCACCTGGATTCGGAATCATAGACTCTGGCTGTGGCAAGACGTTGATAGGTCAAGAGACCCTCAACCAGATGATGCGTATGTACCAAGCCCAGGGTCTGACGCAGCCTGTGATGCGTCGCCAGGAGAACCTTTTTGCTTTTGGCAACAACAAGGAGGAGCTTACTGAATTTGTGGTAGAGCTCCCCATCGGGATCAATGGCAAGGCGGGTCGGGTTGAAGCAGCGATCATTCGAGGCCCTGCTCCTCTGTTGCTCAGCAGGGGAACCATGAAAAGTTTGGGAGCCTCTCTGAACTTCAGCGACAGCTCTCTTTCTCTAGAGGGTGGACCGTCACAGCCTCTCAAGATCAACAGTGCGGGCCAGTATATGATCGATGTCATGGATTTTCCTTCCCTTCCTGCTCATGAAACTATGGTGATTTCCGATGACAAGCTTACTGAGAATGCCATTGTTCCGAAATCCACGAATGTGACTGAGTATGTAGACATGAACACACATCTAGTTCCCCATGGTGATGATTGCTCATGTTGTTCTGGGTTTGAGGTATTGTCAGGTGATTCTAGAACTCTTACACGCCGAGAACAACGCTGTGTGATGTCACGACATGCAGCATGGACAAAGGGGCAATCAAAGTGTGTTGTCGCAGAGCTCTTCTCTCCGCCCCGTTTTGCTCTGGCCGCTCAGGAACGTGGAGCCGAAGGTCTCTCCTTCGACATCAAGCAGGGATGGGACCTCCTTGACAAGAAGGTCCAACAGCAGGTCTCTGGTGTCTTGGAAAAGAAGCGTCCTGAGCTCCTGGTGTTATGTCCAGAATGCAAACATTGGGGGGGCTGGTATAGACTCAACCAGACAAAGTTGCCTTTGTGGGAACAGATTCACAACAAAAGAGTTGCGGAAAAACAAGCTCAGTTTTGCATGGATGAAGCCAAAAGACAAATCAAACGTGGAGGAAGGGTTCTCATCGAACACCCGTGGAGTTCCGGACTTTGGGAGTTTGCACCGATGAAGAAGCTCCTGAAGCAAATGCACCTGTGCAAGGCGTCCATGTGTGCCTATGGCTTGAAGTGCCCCGACACAGGGATCCCGGTGTTGAAACCCACGGGTTTAGCTGTGTCCCATGATGATATGGTAGAGCTCGCCAAGTGTTGCCCAGGACACGCACAGCATAGGGTCATTGCTGGTAGGTGTAAGGATGGTCAGAACATTAGCGCCAAAGCTGCTGTTTACACTTCAGAGTTTGTTCACACTTGGCTAAGTAGTGTTTGTCCATCACCTTCCCTGTGTGCCTTTGCATCCGTGCAGGATCCTGCGACACCCAGTGAGTTGATTCAAGTAGTGCATGAATGTTGCGCCCAGGAAGAAGGGTCTCCTGAGAACCTCAAACAAATCATCAAAAAGTTACACAACAATCTGGGTCATCCCCAAAGTGCTGACTTGATCAGGGTTCTCCGAAATGCTGGAGCCACTTCTCAGGCTTTGGAAGCAGCTCGCCTGTTCACGTGCGAGATCTGTACCCAGCGACAGAGGCCAACACCTTGCCTCCCTGCGTCGGCACACTCTGTGGTCGATTTCAATCACAGAGTAGGCATTGATGTGAAGATTCTTCCGGGTTGGGCTGTCAACCAAAAGGTCAAGTGTCTCAATATAGTTGACTGGGCAACAAGCATGCAGATCATGGTTCCTTTTCACCAACAAGAAACCGGAGAGGTCTTGCGTCAGCTCTTCATGAATCACTGGATGAAGTGGGCTGGACCACCAGTTGAACTTTTGATGGACCCAGCACGAACCAATCAATCAGAACTTTTGGTGTCAAGCTTGGAGAATGCCGGTATCCGAGTTCTTACTATAGCAGCCGAAGCACATAACCAATTGGGGAAAGTTGAGAAACACGGACATCTGTTTGAGGTGGTGTTTGAAAAGGTGCTGGATCAATGCCAACCGGGTGACAAAGAATCCTGGGAACAATGTGTAGTGCAAACTATGAATGCCAAGAATGAAATGTTGAACCAGCAGGGTCTCTCCCCCTATCAACATGTTTTTGGTCGTAACCCACGTGTTCCTTTTGATGTTCTCCAAGAAAACCCGGATGCAGTTTCTGGTACAGTGGCCCTCCATGATTCCAGTTTTGCAAAGTCTCAAGCTGTAAGAACAGCTGCACGAGTGTCCCTGGTACAAGCCCAGGACGAGCAGACCCTGCGTACAGCACTCAATGCTCGACCGCGAGCCGAGCGAGAATTTTTGCCTGGAGATTTTGTCTGCTACTGGCGCACTCAGAAGTACCAGAGAGGAGTCCGTATTGTAGGTGGCAGGTGGTATGGTACGGCAACTGTCATGGGCAAAGTAGGTCGCAACTTACTAATCTACCATCGCAGAAACATGTTCAAAGTTTCTCCTGAACACTTACGTCATGCAACTTTGGATGAGAGAGCAGTGGCACAAGCCGATGGTAGGGAGTTGTTAGGAATAGCTGCCATGGTAGGAGAAGATGGTAATCTTAGGACCAGTCAGTATGTGGATTTGTCCAAGCAAGAACTTCCAGAGATGCCAGAACAGCTCCAACAGGGTCCTGAAGCGTCCTCCAATGCGGTAGACATTTCCGCTGCGACCGTGCCGTCCCAGGCAGAAGCCCTGGAACCTGCAGCGCTCTCTACTGGCGCTCCTGGTGCACCAGAGATCATGGAGTCCAACTCTCCCGAGAGTTCAAGTGTTCCTATTCCTGATGTAGTCCCCCAGATGTCCACCCGAGCTGAACCGTTCCACAGCAGTAGCAGTAGCTCATCTCAGGTGAAGCCTCATTATGGTCCCATAAGATTTAGGCATAGCACTAAGAAACCTGAGGTTCTCTATAGACCCCCTGAAATGGTGCAATCTGACTTTCAAGAAGCCTCCTTGGAACTGTCCCGAGAGAAACGAGCTGCCAGTCGAGAGCCAAGCTCCGAGCCAGCACCCAAGCACGGCAAGTTCTCCGGTGACTGCATGTTGGCTCTGGCAAAGACTGTAGAGTGTGTTGAGGTTTTTCTAGCAGGGTTCCTCAAAAAGAAGCTGCAGACTGAGCTTCATCACTCGAACAATCCCAGTGATGTTCAAGAACTAATCGATGAATCTAAGGTTGTTGAGTGGTCCACCTTGTTGCATGAAAAAGGGGTAATTGAGGTGATAAATCCCAAACAAGCTGATGAAATCAGAACAAGGCAACCCAACCGGATCATGTCCAGCAGGTTTGTCATCACCAAGAAGGTGGAAGATGGCCAGACTCGCATGAAGTCACGATGGTGTCTGCGTGGGCACCATGACCCAGACCTAGTGAAGAAGGTGCTGTCTGGCAAGTGTCACTCGCCGACCCTGTCTCAGCTGGGACGCAACGTCCTCCTACAGTTGATTGTCAGCCACAAGTGGACTATGAATCTTGGGGATATAAAAGGGGCTTTTCTGGAAGCTGATGTTAGCGAACAGCTGGAGCAGAATCCTGTTTTTGCTGAGCTACCCCCAGGGGGAGTACCAGGTGTGGCTCCGGGAAGTCTGGTGAGAATTCGAGGAAATGTGTACGGTGCCAACGATGCCCCTCACAACTGGTTCGTTGAGTTCAATCAAGTGGCACAGAAATGTGGTTTTTCCCAATCTCGTTTTGACAGCTGCGTTTACTACTGTTACAATGCGAAAGGCACTCTGGAAGGGGTTTTGGGAGCACACGTGGATGACACTCTGACGGGTGGCAGTGGCAGCACTTACGATCGTGCGATTGCTGAGCTGAAGGCCAGGTTTCCCTTCCGAAAATGGAGATCAGGCCATGGAGAGTTTCTGGGGGTAGAATACACTCAGGACCCCACCACCATGGAGATTGAATATCAACAGAAAGACTATGCTCTCAATATTCAACCCATCAAACTCTCTAAGGAACGCGCTCGAGAACACTGGAAGCCAGCCAACGATCGTGAGATTTCCGCCCTCCGGGCAGTGAATGGGGCCTTGGGGTGGCTGTCAGGCCAATCACGACCCGACCTTTGTGTTCAAACCTCCATGTCTCAACAGTGTTTTCCCCATCCCACAGTTGAGAATCTCCTCCAAGCAAATCAAGCAGTACGAAGGGCTAGACAACATAGTGATATGACTATCAAGGTACCTTACATACCTCCTAGTGAACTCACCGCGTGTTTCTGGTCGGATGCAGCCTTTGCCAACGCCGTGGATCACCGAACTCAGGGAGGCTGGATTGTAGGTCTTACCAGCCAAAAATTTAGTCAAGGTCATGACTGTCCTCTGAGCTTTGTTGGTTGGAAATCCTACCGTCTTCCCAGAGTGGTGTCCTCCACACTCGGGGGGGAAGCCCAATGTTTTGCCAGCGCGTCAGGCATAGCAGAATGGTGCATGTTGATTTTAGCTGAAGCCTTGGATGGTCCCTTCTTATTATCTGAAGTAGACGAGGTCCTTAGCCGTAGACAGCCAATAGGAATGAGCGATTGCCGATCTCTCTACGACCATTTGGTTACCTTAGGATCTGGAGGCACTTTAGACGACAAGAGGGTAGCCATCGATATAGCTGTGATTCGACAATGCATACAGCGAACTCGTTTGCAACCCAGATGGGTACCGACAGATCGCATGGTCGCTGACGGCCTGACCAAGGACAAAGGAGAGCCGCATGACTTGCTGCGCTCAGTGCTGAGAAATGGTAAGTATCAACTAGCTGATGAACAGTTGGTCTTAGATCGAAAGAAAGAGGAGCGTCACCGTAGGCAGCAGTTGGGAAAGAGCCGTAAACAACAGCATGATGAACAGCAACGTCAGTCCGTTTGCACGTCTGAGAAGAGTGAAGAGGCTGAGCCATGTTTTCTAATTTGGCCGATACTGAGCGAGTAGGAAACTGTTCTTCTCAATGGGTTGCCTATTATCTCAAATGGGATCAGTAGGAAAGAGATCAGTCGTGCTTGCCTTTTTGCATCGTGCCTCTGCATCCGAATAGTCATAAGTACCAACATGTCTGCTTGAGTCAAGTGATTGTACAGTTTTTCGCATGCCAGTGTGAAGTCAAGGTGATAAGAGCTCTAGTTTTCCGTCCCTGCCAAGTGATCTCTCGTGGAATCAATTAGGTCCAGCCATGTCCACATACTCTTTGCCCGTGTCCCAGGATGAAATTGAAGTGGTCAAAAAGATCCTTGCCCGCATGGAAGCTCACGGTCAGAGCCTATCCTCGTTTGTTCAGCCTCCGGCCATCTCCGGTGGTTCTATGACAGATGGCAGCAAGCGTGTGCATGCCGCCGTGGAGCCCAGTGAGAATTTGTCGGAGGAGGAAGATTCTGCCTTTGATTTGATCAGCGAGGTGGGTGGTTGTGCCAAGAAAGGGGACAAGTCAGCCCAGAAGCCTATGGCTCCTCAGATCTCCTTGCCTCCGATGGTGAACAGTCTGGAAAAGTGGGGGAAGACTGCGTGCACCCTTCCCAAGGTGAAGGCTGACGATGTGACCTATTATCAGATTGGCACTTTGCCGAAGTACCGTGACTATTGCGACTGGGTCTTCAAGCAGGGTGAGAGCAAGGGTGCCAAGTGTGTGGACCTTCGCAACTATTTGATTGCCGCTGGTCTGGTGTCAGAGCCCGAAGGGGTTGTCTTTCCTGGCACTACCGAGCTGCGTCGCTTTCGAGATTGATTATATCCTTGGCATGTGCTTTTGAGCTTCTTTATGGGGTACCTGAGTCAGTGAGAGAGCTCCAATGCTGCAATTTTTACTTTCAGAATATAACTCAGACGAAGTTCTGAGCAAAACCTTTTTCTAGGAGAGAAAGAGGAGTGTGAAAGCAGCGCCTCTCTTCCAGGTCCCATTTCACCTTGTGGCATGTATCGAAGCCAACTTGCTCAACTCAGGCGAGAAACTAATGCAAGCGGGCGTGGTGTTTGAATCTAGGAAGATTCCAGTTGTTCCCCAGGCGGGGTTTCTAACTGGTATAGTATCCAAATTGAGTTACCATATTATCCATTCTTAAATTGATATGACTAGATACTTGTAATGTTGGAACATAGAGACATAGATTATATAGATACTGGAACTATGCCTTCTTGGTGCTCCTTTTCTTGTTTTTTTTTTAAACCTAGATACTAGAAACGCATCGTTGCTGAAAAAAACGCCGCCGCCTTGCTTCAAATGATCAAGTGCTGTGGGCCCTCTGCGATCCTACGATATCTGCCGTACCATTCAACTGTGATGGGGACATCAACATAAACCATCCAAAAGTATCCAGGAATCCAAAAGTTGATTACGGGTAAAAACCCCTTCTGGTTGGTGGTTTGGAACATTTTTCCATATATTGGGAATGTCATCATCCCAACTGACTCATATTTTTCAGAGGGAAACCACCAACCAGCTTTTGTATTGGGAAGAAACGTATTTGTATCGGAAAAAAAGCGCCTGTACGTTGGTTTCAGCATTGAGCTGCGTGACTAAATGTTTTTGAAAAACATGGCGGTGGGAGACTTCATGGCAGTCCAGAGATCATATTGAATTTCCCAAGATGGCTGCTCAAAAACCAACATTGGATGTGGATGGTAAAACTATGCAAAAACTCCAAACAGGTCAGCAGAATTGAGAATAGGTGGGGCAGAAGAGGAGGTCTGCCACGAGATGCAGAAATTAGTAACATGTGAGAAATCCTAGGGACCGATGTGTATATAGAAAATATAGAAGAGTATGACAGAGTATGTGATGAAGATTGAGTGAATTCCGCGTAAGCGCGGATGCTTTAGTGGGTCTCAAAATAGCAATAGCTAGGATCATGTAAGTTAGGCACACATACTGTAGTTAGAGTACATCATTAGAGTGTCACTGAGATATGATTTATTGGTAGAACCCATCAAAAAGTATCGAACTCAAGATTGTTGTAAAAACAACAGCTGATGGTTGATAGGGCCGGAATAGCACCGGTAGATGGGGACAATGACTAAGTGGTCCTTGTGCCACATGTCAATCCATAGCAAGGTAGAGTTCAACTATTAGTTCTGAAAATCAGTTTCGAGGACCCTCCGGTAATCAAACGTGGTAATGGAACATCCCCCATATTTTTTTTGGGTGGGAACATCTATGAATTGGATATTTTCTTTCCATCAAGCCCCGGAAGGAACATCACTTTGGAGGGCTTTCCTGGCTCTGAGAAGACCGAGCTGGAGAGCTGCATTGTCTTCGAGGAAAATTCGCCCAAAAAGCTGTGTAATTTCCGTCCAAGATCGGAGTTTCCAAGGAAAAAACAGGGCTTTTACCATCCAAAGGGTGGAGGTCATCATCAAATACACGGTGTTTTTTTGGAGCATCCAATTGCAATATGGCAATATATATGATTATATATGCATATGCTGCATGTTCTCATCATTTCAGAACAGTTGATTTCCTACCTCACATTTGCATGATCGGTATACGTGCCAAAATTAGGATTTTCCACATGCATATGGCCTGTTTGCAAAGGGGCAGTGCTAGTTTGGTGTGTCGAATTTCAAGACCCTTCGGCCCACATGTTTTTTGATAACTTGCATCTTATTAAGTCTTTACAATGCACTTATGTAAAGACATCTCCAAAAGAGATAGAAAAGTCGATCCATGCTACTGTCTTTGAATGATGTTTGACATTCAGATTGGTCTTCTCGGGAACCCGAGGGTGCCTTCCTGTAGCAATGTGAATGACACGTCAAGTCCAGGAGGGTGCCGAACGCGCAGCGTTGCGCAACCTGGACATCATCAACAGCCGACGCTTCGCAGCTGTACATGTGAGATGTTCCGGAGCTCCAGAGGTCAGTGCCTCTACGGAAGGTGACCACAGACAGACCACAGACGGAGGACGGAGGAAGGTCCGGGAGAGCTCTGGTTCATGGTTTGCAGGTTGGATTTTGAGAGACACGAATGGATTGGATGAATAGAAGGTCAGGGAAAGTACACAATGGACATATGTACAGGTAGTCCAAGACTTCTCTCATCTTCTCTCTTTTTTTCTTGTTGTCCGGATGCAAGTGCATTTGCTTCCTTTGCTTGAGTTCTTGTTTGGTCCCTTTGTAAGAAGACAGTCACTTGAACCCTTTTTTCCAACCTTCATTCTCTCATTTTTTGATTGCAGACCGGCAAGCCTTTGTTTCAGAGACAGCGGACGAGTTCACTGAGTGGCTGAGGTGGATGCAATATCTCCAGTTGCGGTATTGGCATTTTGACCGACGCTCCTTTGAACACTCTGAGCAATCCATTGATCTCTGACTGCCGCATTGGTCCCGCCTGGCAGGCCCTGCATCCAGGTGATAGGGACTAAAAAAAGTGGACTATGTACCCTCTGGTAAACTAACATAGCTATTGAAAATGGCCATTTATAGTGAGTTTTCCCATTAAAAATTGTCATTTTCAATAGCTATGTTAAATTACCAGAGGGTAAATCAGAAGTAAAATTGATCCTGCATGGACAATTGGAAAATCCACACTCTTCAGAAGTTCAAAAAGGGGATTGAAAGACATGTTTTCCCATTGCCCAATTGCCAGTCAAACATTTTTTGGACTACCAGAGGGTAAAATCATTGGGTCGCTGGTTTGAAGCATAGACACAAAATGATGATTATACCTTCTGATTATCCACATTAGACAAATCATTATGATCATCATTATGTTCATGCCTTACATATCTTTACATTCAATCATAGACCAGAAATGATGATCCAACTGATGATCGTTAAATCCTAGCCAAGAGGGGTCACTTCGTCATATTTTACTGGTTGGTGGTGACTGGAACCATGGAATTTTATGACTTTCCATATATTGGGAATAGTAACCCCAACTGACTTTCACATTTTTCAGAGGGGTGGGTTGAAACCACCAACCAGCTCTGAGATTTTTCCCAGTTTACCACCCAAAGGTGCCCAGTTAGACATGCAGGGCTTGGTGATCGCTGGCCGTTGTCGCGGCACCTTTGAGCGCTGCGTCATCAGCGACTGCCGCAGTGCGGGGATCCGCCTGCGCAACGATGCGCGACCGGTGCTGCGGGGAAATCTGGTGGTGGGATGCCAGGGTCCAGGCATGGTGGTGGCTGGATCTTTGAACATTTTGTGTGATAAATCGGGGGTAAACAATGGTAATTAAACAACAAGATGTGAACGCCCCCTATGTTTTTTGGGGAAAATGATCTGCAGATTGGTGGGTTTTCGACATCTATAGAAGTTTACTGGGGGGTAACATGCGATAAATCTCTGGAGAATAGCTAGGATGAATACGAAGGATTTCTTTGAGTCAACATACAGTTGAAGCAATGGTTTGTTTTTGCAGCCCCCCAAAAATGAAATCGTTGGGGTTAAACCCTCAAAACATAGACTTAAACCAATGCTGGGAGTATGAGGACATAACTTGGATAGGAACTAACGATTTCATAGTTCAGAACGTTGATCTTTTATTAACCAACTATTTTGTTGGTTTTTCAGGGGCCCAAATTCAAGATTGGCCATTTATGAATGACTCCGATCGATCTGATTTTTTTTACCATTTTTTACCCAGGTATGGAACCGTGCTGAAGCACAGATGGAGGACAACGTCTTTTTGGACAACGGAGCGTCGGAAACACCGGAGGAAACACTGGAGACCTGAGCTGATCTACGGCCCCTCGATGACTCGATGACTCGGTACCAGTTCCAGACCCGACACGGAGGACGCCTTGGGAGTCGAGCAGTGGAACATGAGTTGCTAAGATCAGGACTGGCAGTTGCTGGTGAAAATCCCCAAAATATCCAAAATGGGATTGAGTTGAAGATATATGAACATACATTTTTTACAATTATATATATAATATATATATACATGTATATATGTTTATCATTTTAGGGTAAGGCATATGTTTTTTGATCCAAGACTTTGGGATGTTCACCAGGGCATCTGGGTATGGTAAAATCGACCCTGACTCTGCTGGGTTGCGCCATGTTGCGTTGGCACAGTGTGGCATTGTGCCCTGACGCGAAAGTCCAAAAGGATGCTTTGCGCTTCGAAGCAGGGAACTTGAGGATGAAAAGGATGATGTTTTTCATTGCTTCCAAAGCAGTTGGTTGTGTCTGAAAATGGTGCACGCTCATTTATGGTCATTTTAGTAGGGGAAATTGTGATTAATCATCAATTTGTTGGGTATATTGTCAGACAAACCCATACACCTGACTACGGTTTCGCAAGTCCGCTGGAGCTGGGGTGGGAGGTGAGCCGTTGATGTGACACGAGATGATCACGTTTTGGGAGGGGTCTGGTACAAAGGTCCTATTTTATCTTAGATTCATGTGAGCATCATTGCAATTGACTTAAGTCAATTCCTAGGATATTATGGCATATGGTATATATATATATATATGCCCCAGGTGTACAAAGGTCCTATTCTATCTTTCTTAGATTGATGTGAACTGCAATTTCAATGTCAATTCCTACGATATTATAACATGATAATACACCATAATATATATATAAGTATAATGATAAAAAGATGATCTATATAATATATTTATTGTATATATATATCTATATATTGATTCAACTAATATGCCCCATGCCCATATGTTTGGCGAAAAAAAAACTAACCTGCAGCAGTTTTTACCATCTGCTCCTCCAGGACCATCGTTTTGTAGGGAGTTTTACCCCGGAAAAAACGCCATGGTTTCGATGTTCCCTTGGAACAATGGTGGCTCAAGCACCATTTCAATGAAATTTGTAGATATTTGTAGCATGAAATTCATGACATACTGGTTTTCACATATTTTAAGCAACCATGATTGAGACTACCATGATTTCATGGAACATTTCCCATGGTTTCACGGATCGTTTTTTGACATCTCCCACTACTGGTTGTTTCGGTCTCTCTGTTGTGGTCAGCATCCCAAGGCCTGAGCCGATACCGTCATCAGGACCGTTCAGGGCCCATCGGATCCGGATCCGCGGAACAGGCGCAACGGCGGGATGGGCTGACGGGAATCGGCAACTGGGTTTAGCCAACCCAAAATGACCCTTAACTATCTTAACTGTTCAGTTTAGCCAGTTGTTTAAAATCAGAATTCAGATATTTTATGATTTTTATGATATTTTGAGATGAAGAATTGTAGGTAATATTCCGGATTCCATTATATCTGGGTGAAGATCAGAGAATGCCAACCTAGCTCTTGATCATTAGCCCAGGTAATAGTTGGATCATTGGATGGCTATAAGATGACCAACCTAGTTACATCATTAACCTGAAATAGAAAAATCATTAGCCACTACAGGACGGTGCCCCCGAGTTATGTTTGTTGGTTTATAAAGCCCATGAAAACTATAGTATACCGTACTTAATATCTACCATAAACCATATAGTTCATTCAGCCACTTTTTTTTTAGGCAACTGAACGCTATCGCTCGACTGGGGGCCCCATCCTGTAGTAGTTAGTGTCGATTTTGGTGCTAGGGGATGGATGATGATTTTGATGAAATTGGATTTTTACATGTTTTTGTATGTTTTTATAATGGTTAGAATGGTGAAATGGGGATATTTTTTTTTAATATTTATTTTTAAATGTGTTATATATTTGTTTGATAATGGTTTGAATGGTTGATACACTAAGATCGTGATATGATGTATCATGGGGTCAATATGGGCTGACATCTGGTAGTACCATCTTATGTTTATTTTCATATTTTGACATCATGTTGAGTGTGTTTCCCATATTCATACTTTGTGGTCTTTCCATTCTTGATACTGTCCATGATGAATATCACTTAGCCATGGGAGGTATTTCACCAAGAATCAAGGTAGCCGCCAGCGTTTGCCAGGTTAGATTGGTTACCCGGCTACCCCACTCATTCTCTTTGGGATTCTAAGCGTCGCCTATCATGGATATGGATATTCTATACTGGATACTATACTGGATACCAATGAATACTTATGGATACTAGTGGATCTTCTAATGGATAATATATATATATATATATATGTACTACCCCCTGGTAAATTAACATAGACCCTGAAAATCACCAATTTTTAGAGGAAACTAATCTTCCAACCCCTGTCTGGCAGGGTCTATGTTAATTTACTGGAGGGTAGCCACTAACTATCATTATTATCAACTATTATCAATAATTGTTATTATTATCAACAATTTTCAACTATTGATTATTATCATTGGCTATTAACTACTATTAGTAATTAAGTATTATTAAGTACCTAGTAATACTTATGTTAATTTACTGGAGGGTAATATACATACCCTCTGGTGAACTAACATAGCAATGGAAAATCACCATTTTCAATGGGAAAATCCACTATTTCTATGGCCATTTTCAATAGCTTTTTGTTAGTTCACCAGAGGGTATATACTATGGATCCTCAGCAGTCATGGATCTCAACGGATCATCCGTGAGGTCGGTGACTTCCCACGGGTTTTTTTTCGAGTTCAAAAAGGCTAAAGCGCCCGGTGCTTTGTTCCGCATTTTCCATGGTTCCTGCAATGATTGTCATGGCCGCCATGGTTATTTGACATATATAGTATAGCTATGTATAGCTATGTATCGCTATGTATAGCTATGTATAGCTATGTATAGCTAGTGAAGATGTCCATTTGTAGTTGACTCTTCCTACTAAAAGTGGTGATTTTCCCACGAAACATTGTCATAAAAAACACTGGGATGATGATCCCAAGTGGTGAGCAGATGCAGCAGGTGGGATTGAAACCACAAAGTAGCAGGAGATTTCGGCACTTCAAATTTTGCCAGAAGTGCAACGTGGCTTTGTCCATCATTCATATTTTATGGGATAGCATAATTTTAACGGATATGAATCGGATATCATGAACATTCAATCTGATATCAGTTTGTCTGAAAAGAGTAGGGTATACCGATGTAGATGGTATACCCACCAGTTTATCGCCGTCCCAATGGGGAAGATGAATGATTCATCAGTGGAGTTGGGCGTTTTCCCAACCGTTTAAGACAAACCCACATATTGTCAGCGTTTACAGCAACCTCAAAAAAGATGCAGAAAAGTGCCAAGTCCAGTTCCAAAATTCAATTGTAGATTGAAACATTCCTGAAACTTTTTTGGGGATACTATCTCGGCAGATGTGCCCCTGTAAATATTCTCAGGGCGAACTTTCGCTCAAGATTTCATTGGAGGTTTAGATAGTTCGGGGTTTGCTTAGGGTTTCTGAATATGTTGAAGCATATAACTGCAGTCAGATACAACTTGATGCAACTTCACACAACTTGACGCAACTTGATAGAACTTGAATTGATACTACCACCGCCACCACCGCCACCACCACCACCACCACCAACAGCAACAGCAGCAGCAGCAACAACAGCAACAAGAGCAACGACAACGACAACGACACCGTGGGATGCCATTTGACCGTGTCCCTCAACTAGTTAAGGGATTTTAAATATTTTGTCTGTGGAATCGGGCACCCGGTTGTATCTGGGGAGAACCTTGTTTCCTGTAGAGTTCCTCTGAAACAAACTTCGAGATACAACAAATAGCTATATTATATTTAACTTTAACTCGTTTGTTTATTGTTAATATTTGTTAATATTAGTTCTGCTAATTGGTTGAAACGGGATCTTGCATTAGCTCTCACACCAGTTCGCAACCAGGCTTTAGACGCTGCTCATATGGGGATATTTCATGATATTTTATGGGATGATGTAATTGATAGCTGATGGAAATGCATAGGATGTATAACCAACAACAATACACTGATTTTATGATATTTGGGTATACCGGTATACCCCTCAATTACAGTAATGGCTAAACTGATACGAAACATCATCAGGAACCAGAGGATCTGGATCTCTTCCCTGGGATTACCACATTTCTTAGGACGATCTTGGAGATTGAAAGCCCATGAAGTACTTGGGATTTCACCAGCACCTCAAATGGGGACAGGACGTGGTAAACCCAACGCTGCGTTAGCCAACTTTTTTGGGAGTTTGAATACACCTCAAACAGTACAGTAATTCATGGCAGCCAGGGTTTCCCACATTATTATTAATTTTTGGGTTTCCCTCATTACAATATGTTCTATTTTGACATAGCCATTGAACATCGCAATGTTTAATAGGTAAATCATCGACAAACAGGCCATTTTCCATAGCTATGTTAGTTTACTAGAGGGTATTTTGTTAATCCCTTCTCACTAATATTAAACACCCCTCCAGAACCCATAGTGGATGTAGGGGATGAAACCACATTTTTGGCACCATTGAGGAGGTGTTTCATATTAGGGGGATGGGATTATTTTGACTGGTTAGTTAGAAGATAGATGAAAATAGGTAAATCATCCACAAGCAGGCCATTTTTCATACGTACCTATGTTACCCTCTGGTAAACTAACATAACCATGGAAAATCACCATTTTTCATGGGAAAACATGGAAAACTCACTATAAATGGTCCACTTTCATCAATTTTCCATAGCTATGTTAGTCTACTAGAGGCTATCTGTTATTTTGAAAACGTTCGTTGACTACAGCGGGGCCAGGCACTTCGTGTTTTGACAAACACGGGATTCATCGGTCAGCCCCGAAGAGAAGCGGGAAAAAAAAACGCAAAGCGCGGAGAGCTGCGGCGGAATCAGAAAGCCATGAGGTTTACCCTCCAGTAGACATAGCTGTGGAAAATGGACCATTTATAGATATGTATATATAGATATTTATAGATTATTTGTCTACTTTTTTATCTGATTTTCAATAGCTATCTTAAATTACCGGAGAGTATCCAGAGAGTATGTTTTGCGAAAATCTATAGTTGATGTATTGATGCATGTGTGATACGATACATATTTTGTTATTAATATGGGTAGCTTCTGTATGTTTATGCAAGAATAGAATCATGTGACCAATGATATCCTATCCAAATGGAAGCCCCAGCAAGTATTTGGGGGTTTCCATAGTCATGGGGATACCCAAAAATGGATGGTTTATAAGGGACAATCCTATGGAAAGGGTCTTGAAAAAAAAGGCACAACGATGGGAATGTTTTTTTGCCTGACAGAAGCACAACGGTGAACATGATACCAAAGTTGTTCCAATTTGGATGAAGGTTGTTGAAGGATGGTTCGAAGCGTCACGACAGCCATGCAGGCTTCAAAGAGGTTATTCGGTCAACATGGACCATTAGCTGACTTTCTCAGCCAGATTCCACTAGGGTGAATGGCGCTGTAAGGTCAACGAATGATTTGACGTGTGTCAGATTGCAAGAATCAACTGAAGAGTCTAGTCTGTTGTCTTTTTTCATTGACAACATGCAATGACCCCCAACAGTCACAGTGGGCATGAAATATAGGTCAAACATTCCAGACACATTCAGACTCCAACGACTCGGTTGATTTGTGTCGCTTTGTGTCGACATGGCAGAGGCCAGAAAAGTCGGGTGATGTTTGGGGGATGTGATCCACCATTTTTTGTTTTTGAGCCATTTCCGAAAAACACCAATTGGAGATTTCCGAAGTCATGGAGGTACCCCCAAATCATCCAAGTCATTAGACCATGACTTACAGTAGTATTGAAACAACCATGGTGACTTGGGGATCCACCATTTTAAGAACCCCCAATTTGATGAGTTTTTCCGTGCGATTTGGGAAGAACCTGGGCTGAGGGGCTTTGAGAAGTTTTCTTGGATGAAATGTATTTCCTGAAGAAGGTTTGGCCTTGAAAACTTTCGAGGGCACGGCCTGCTTCAAAAGGACTCAAAGAAAGAAGTTGATCAAATTTCGACCATCAAATTTGCACAAGTCCAATGCAAAGAGAAGACTTAGTGGTCTAGTCATGTCTAGTCTGTCTGTCTAGTATGTGAGAGTAACACAAAAACTGAATGTACAACCATTTGTTATTGCGATGATAATATAGGATTCCCATGAATTAGCTAGATAGTTTTTCTATGTGTTTCTTGTATTTAGACCCTCCAAATAATTACCCCAAAGAAATGGTAAACATACATAGTAATTATGGGGTTAAAACATGTTAAAACACAATTTTGAATGGCATACTTTTTGTAACCAACCAGCATGAACTATTTGCCATTGCGATAATATAGGATTCCCTATCAGATAACCTTTCTTAATCAAACAGCATGTGCCCAGTGCCAAACAAATGGGTTGTATAATGAGATTGATTGTTTCAATATAATGAACATCATATCTCTATTATATGATATATATATATATATTATATAACAATATTTCTCCTATATCTCAATTGGGGGCTTCTTAAGTCATGGTGGATCCTCAAGTCACCATGGTTGCTTCAACAAGAGAAAGTCATGGTCATCCATGATGACTGGATGATTTGGGAATACCCCCATGACAAAACGGACACCTCCATATAAATCCCATCAAACTGCGGTTTTGGACTATATTCAATCTCATCATATTTCCATGATATTTCCATGATATTCCCATAAATAAACAATATACAGGATGGTGCTCCCCAGTTATGTTTGTTGGTTTATTTTCCCACCATCGTTCGTTATATCTACCATAAACCATCGTTTTTTCAGCCACGGGGGCTCAGCTCGGAGGAGAAGCTGCGAGGCTGGGACTTTTGGAAGTCCATTGGCTCACCGAAATATGTCTGTGCACCCATGGTGGATCAGTTCCTCGAACGCAGCGGAGCGCAGCGGAGCTATTGTAGCCTCTGGTGAACATAGCTATGATATGGTGACTTTAATGGCTTTTGATGGTGAAAATCGGAATTCCATGAATTCCATGGGATCTTTGATCTTTCATGGGATTTCCTGGGATATACCTTCTGGTAATGACTAACAGTTTGGCTGGAAAATCATCATGTTTAAGTTCGGTAAATCAACGAACTAAAACTATAAATAGGTAAATCAACTTGAACTAAATCACCATTTTTCATAGGTAAATCAACGAACTATAAATGGGCCATTTTCAACGGCTATTTTGACAAAAAACCAGGTTGGGTACTTGGATTTGATGAGTCGATGAATGGCTTGGCTTAGCAATTCCAATTTTGGGAAATCCACGTTTGAACTGGGGAATCTATAAGCAATGTAGTGGTTAATAGTGGTTAATAGTGGTTAATAGTGGTTAATAGTGGTTAATAGTGGTTAATGATGGTTAATGATGGTTAATGAGATACCACATATTTTATATACCCTCTGGTTATGACATGTTATGACTATCCCTGGTAAACTAATGGTGTTTTATGGTGACTTAATAGGAATTAATGGGATCTAATGGGATATAGTTGGGAATATACCCTCTGGTTATGACTAACAGTTTGCCATGGTATAGATGGCCCATAGAAATAGATGGTTTACCTAGCTATAAAATGGTGGATCTTTCCATGGCTATGTTAAATAACCAGAGGGTGTATGTATATATATATATATTATATTCAGGTTCCTTAAGGTTCCTTATGGTTCCGATTTTGGTTCCTTAAGCAAATCCAAGATGATCATTAACCATTAATGATTGGGGGTGGTTTAGTATGGCTTTACTCACCATTACAATTCCCACTATTATAGCTATCATAGTCCCATTTAGCTATTTATCTTAGTAAAGCAATATCATAAACCAGCCATATTTTGATGGTTAGTAACACACCCATGAACATGGTAAAATCTGGATGGTGGATCCTATTGCTTTACTGACATGACCAGTTTTGCGGTCGAAGAGTGCGAGAGTTTCAAAGGGAGTTGTTTTCGGAAACAATTGGTGGAACAATTGGTGGAACAATGGTGGTTAATGGTGGTTAATGATGGTTAATGATGGTTAATGATGGTTAATGATGGTTATTGAGATACCAAATATTTTATATACCCTCTGGACAATGCTGGGAATTCAATTAGTCTTTTTCTGGATTTCTGAAGGGAGATGAGACTTGCTTGAGTTTTTTGGAGTGCTTTTCGGAAACAAGTAGGATACCAGCAAGAATGCGAATATAATGAGATTTAACCAACAAGAAACCATAAGAATGGGAGATATCCAACGCTTTAATAGAGGGGAGAGTTGGATGTTTTTGATGTCTATCGTGGATTTCAGAGGTTTTTTTACAGGTTTGTTCTGGTTCTTTACCGTTCTTTGATGCATCTGGTTATTTTGCCAAGACAATAACAATACTTAGATAGGTTACATAGGTGCTGCGGTATAGCCCCATGATCTCACTTGCAACTTGGAACGAAAAATCATGAGCCTGAAATGAAGTGCGTAAGCATGCAACAATGGAGGCAACCAAGAACATGTGGGGAGGTATCCGAGCAAAGTGGGCAATTAAATGTTCGTTCACACAACAATGCCTTTTCTTGCAAATCAACCAGCAACAAAAAAGCACTTGGATGTGCATCCCAGTTAGTGGTTTATAACTCCCCAAAACTGTCGATATTCCATCAATCTGTTGTCATTTTCTCATGAAATTCTATATTCTTACCATATTTAGTATATTTTAATATTTAAGGTTGGATTTCCATCCATTGAACCCTCCTATTCCGACGTCAAAACTGCGCTGTCGATTCGCTGTCGATCCAAGGTCAGAGCTGGCCTTCCGCATGCTTTGTCGTCGGTGGTGGCCCGAGATGGGATGATGAAGCGTGGTCCAAAGGTGATGTGAATGTTGGCTGAACAAAAAGCCCATGAATACTAGCTATATCTACCATAAACCATAGTATAAACCATAGTTGAGCTACGTAACTTAAAGCAACGTTGCCATCTGGGGGGCGGTTGTTTAGAGGGGCTGAGATGTATAGAGATGTATAGTGATGTATAGTGATGTATAGTGATGTATAGAGATGTAGAGGACGTTTGTAGATTCTGTCGATTTTGTTGTTTTCCTTGCAGCAAGAACAAACCCAAGAACGAGTAGTACAGCTGACATTTTTCCCGAGACCTTGGGATCTATGCATCATGGTGTGATGTCAATCCTTTCGTTGAAACAGACGCTAACAAAATACTCTCTCTATAGACGGGTGATCTCAAAAAAGGCAAGGCTGGGATGTTTTAAAAAAACATGCGCTACCCTCTGGTAATTTAACATAGCCATTGAAAATGGCCCATTTAGTTCGTTGATTTACCCATTAAACATGGTGATTTTCCAGCTCGCAAACTGTTAGTTTACCAGAAGGTATATCCCAGGAAATCCCATTAGGTCCCATGGAAATTCCTATTCAGTCACCAAAAACCCATTAAAGTCACCATATCATAGCCATGTTAGTTTACCAGAGTGTAGAATATGCTACCCTTCAACGCAGGAGGGGGGTGACTAAGTCAATAATTGGGGGTGGTTTACCATGGCTTTACTCCTCATTACAATTCCCACTATTAAAGCTATTATGATCCCATTGGCTATTCGTAATAGTAAAGCAATGTCATAAGCCAGCCATATTTTGATTGATGGTCAAAAATACACCAATTAACATGGTAAAATCTGGATGGTGGATTCTATTGCTTTACTGACATGACCAGTTTTGCGGTCGAAGAGTCAGAGAGTTTCAAAGGGAGTTGTTTTCGGAAACAATTGGTGGAACATGGACAGTGCTGGGCGTTCAACATCTCTTTCTGGATTTCTGAAGGGAGTCACCATATCATAGCTTTTTGATGCTTTTTGTATGTTTACCAGAGGGTAGACTGTGCTACCCTTTCACCCTTTCAATGGGAGGAGGGGGGTGACTAAGTCAACCCTTCCGTTGATGCGAAAGCTCCACTGAAGGTATGGTACTGAGTTAGCGTACACGCCGATGCTGCACTCGCGCATGTGGGAAGCTTGCTGGGTCGTCATGGCGTGCCGTTCATAGATACATACATACATATATTGTTACATATATACACATACAATTATTTGTACATATTTGCACATGTATATATATATATACACACATACATGGAGGTTTCCTAAAATGGGGGTACCCCAAATCATCCATTTAAATTGGATTTTCCATTAGAAACCATCCAGCTATTGGGGTCACCCCCATTTTAGGAAACCTCCGTATAGTTGGAAGAACCACAGAGATGAGACATCAAACATGATGGATTTGGCACAAGTGAGAAGCAGGTGTGGAAGCAGATTATGGAATGATTTTTATGAATTGAAACTCGAAGCATTACAGTATGTAAAAAAAATCAGCGTTTCGGTATGGAGGATCAGCGGCTGGTCTCATCAGTTCACCTGGTTGCATGTGGCCTGAAAGGCCACATGCAACAGCTCCCAAATCATGGCATGTTCTGTAAACAACAACAAGGACCACTAGTGTAGCTATCCATTGGAACCCCAGTCGGACAACGGTGGCCGATGGTGGCCGAATCATCTCACCTTCTCCCAATTTATTTGACCATCCTTGGCAGGTTCTCGACACAGCCGAAGTACCGCAAGGAGCAATTTTCCACCTGCCCGGAGGACTGAAGATTTCTGGTGGAAGTTCTCTGAAGATTGGAATCCACGGCCGTTTTTTTTTTGAACACGGCCGTATTCGGATTACATATGGGTTTGCCCAAAAATGGATTCAGGTTGCAATTTCCACTACAGAATCGTGGGACTTGGGTCCACTACAAAACTGCCAGCCAGGCTATTTTGTAAGGAATCTTGGTGTTGGAGCCCTCTATTTTGTAGCAAGGGGGTTTTTGGAGTCGTATCATGGACAGGCTGGGTTCTAGCACTGCATTTTGTAGTGACAATGTTGTCGACTCGGATCATGACCGGTGAGAAACTATAAAATGCAGTTGGAACAAATCAGCGCTTGATGGCCTTCGATTCTGTGGAGCAAAATCCTTGCTATAAAATGCACTCTCCAAATATTGGACTTTAAGGTGATCATATGAGCCCCTGTTTAGGATTCCACCCTGTTTGTAGTGAGGGCCAGTCTTAGAGCTGATGCACTTTGTATTCATTTGATTTTGGGTCTTGTCCTACCTCTTTGCAGTGCCTCGGGGTCAGGCAAGGCAAATTGATACTACAAAAACCTGACACAACACCACCCCCCAAATGCACAGCCTGATGAACATGCTGGATACTGCACCCGAACATGCAATTTTTTTGGTAGGAAACCGCTGGAAAACTTACAGTATGAAAACTGGATGATACCCCATGACGCTCCATCTGATTACTTGCATTGCTTTAATGCATCCAAATGCGGATACGACTGTGTCACAGAACTGGTGATTCTCTGTCAAGAACTGCTCGGATCCTCTATGACCAACAGAGAACAGTGGATTTTGATAGTAGACTGGCAAATTGAAATCATTTATCTGATTAGATAGTAGACCCATTGCAATTATTTAGTAAGTTTACTGCTATCATTTACATTTAGTAGTCTATATAATCTTAACTGTATAACCTACCAGTGTCACTTGGGTCTGTATCAAGAATCGATCCTACCTGAACAGCTTAGTTTGGTACCTTGATTGGATGTGAATCCCAGTTGCTAAGTGAATAGCAAACCATATGTGCCATGGTCAAAAGACGGTCATGAATCCATGAACTGGGATTCTATATACTCATTAAGTGAGGATCCAGGATTCCCCATAGAGGTTGGACATTTCCATATATCCATTACCGTGCTAACTTGACGATGGCATATATCATCACCCAGTCGAGCAGTGTTCCACACCCCAAAATGTCGTCCCTTCATAATGGATAAATTATCCCCAAGAGTCGAAAAATTGGCGAGTTGTCCATTTTCGCCAACAGGGCTTTAGGAGAAGCCACTGCTAAGTTATGGGTCCCATACCCCCAGGTTGCCGCGGTTTTGATCGCCACTTACCCTCTGGTAAACTAACATAACTATAGAAAATCACCATTTTTCATGGGAAAATCCACTATATATGGTCATTTTTAATAGGTTTTTGTATGTTTACCAGAGGGTACCCACAGGTTGCCGCAGTTTTGATCGCCACAGAAACTGATGCCAAAAACCGAGTTCGGAGGACCGACCGGTCTTCGCACAGTTCTGTGGAGACGACCCTCAGACCGTGCTGGCAGCGGCTCGGTGATGTTTGAAAAAAGTGGGTCCAACAGGGCAATCATCGCCATGTGAGGCCCCCGTTCGATAGCTAAGATGGTGAACATAACTCCAATTTCACTATGGTTTATGGTACTTGTAACTATAGTTACTGGGGCTTATAAACCAACTTATAACTGGGGGGCCTCACATTGTAGCCATGTCTGTAGCCATACCCAACTTGGACTTAACTTACAAATTGAGGTGTGGATGAATCAAAACATATCAAAACCTTCAGTTTTTGGCCATGTTGAAATGGAGGTTTCCCATTTCATGGGGGTTACCCCCAGTCATCCATGTATATCCATGTTATTTTCGGATTTTCCATGAAATAAACCAACCAGCGTTTTTGGGGATCCCCATGACTAATATGACTATGGAAACACCCTTAATTCAATGGGAATGACTCAGGATCCAACAGATGGAGGTACGTTAGTACCATATTTCTGGCCATATTTTGCTGGGATATTCCCTTACATAGGCCTGAAAAATAGGCCTTATATATGGAATCGGTACCTCCAATCAATCGGTTCCTGACATGGCCATTGATTTTAGATGTGCTGTCCGAGTTTCCTCTGAGGCAGCAAAGCTGTTGCCTCCGGGGAGTGTTGATGCGGTCGATTTGAATTGCGGATGTCCTCAGGCGCAGGGAGGGGCATTCTGCCTGAGATTTGAAGGAAGTGCCCGAAAATGCTGTGGAAAATGACCCATTTATTGATTTACCTATCAAAGATGGTGATTGTATGTGATTGTCTAGAGTTCCGTTAGTCGTTGCCAGAGGGTATCACTTTTTAACTCGCTTTTTTCGCCTTCCATGTCCATTTTGGCGAGGTATGAACTTCGGAGGGAACAAACTCGCCAACAGGTCAGTTCAGCGACATTGATCCACAGTGCCTTTTCAGAAGTGCTACTGAGTAGGGCGACATTGATCCTCACTACGACCTCACTGGAATGATATTTAGTAGGGATAACTATCCCAAAGTAGCCCAACATTTCAGGATAGTGAAAGATTATTTTTATGTGTCCAGTGCTAAAAAACATGACTTGAAGAGTTCAACCTTACTCAACAACTCGATGTTTTAAGTTTTCTACTCTGGTGAAGCCTTCCGTACCATCTCCACCATCCCCTCTATTTTTGACCCGAAAAAACATCAAAAATCGCTGCAGGGCATTGCTCGCAAAGGGCATTATGGAGCGTACCTGCTCTCTGAGCCGGATGTGTGGGGGGCCCGAATCAAGGTTACCGGATCTGAGACAATTTCCGGATGATTTGGAGGTGCTTTCTATAGCGCCACTAAAAGTGATTTTTGGATGGTCTTAGATGGTATGTGATTATATATACACATGATATGTATATTTATACATAGATGTGTGATCTACATTATTTTCTAGTTCGGATTTATCATCGAGAACCTAGAAGATGATTACATAATGCAGATGAATGATGCTGCGTTTATCATTGATAAGTGGGTTATACAATGGTTATATACTGCATACCATACCCACTGTGATGCACATTCTCAAGTACATTGGACCCTTCTCATATACCTGATGATTACGGGCCCCTGAGGAAGCAGGGTAAGGTTCTCGCCTTTGGCGTCACCCGCTCTAAAATTACCTTGGCCTCCCATCGTTGGTACAACAATTGAATGATATTGAATAGTGCTCTTATAAATTTGAAGCTTGACAGTTTATAAACTTGGTGAATCTATGTAAATCTATGATTTTCTAAACATCCGTGTGCTCTATGCCCATCATCCGCGTGAACCAGTTGATTCATGTTGCCAAGTGCGCCCGTGCGCACGAGGATTGAGGGCATTGTCAGCACCCTGGATAAGGACGAGGGCCATAAATGGTCGTTCTGGGAGTGTGTTGGATGCATATATACCTGGATCATGGGACACTGATATTCAATGGAGAGGGAAAACCCACCATTTCATGGGATATAGTTGGGAATATACCATCTGGTTATGACTAACAGTTTGCGAGCTGGAAAATCACCATAGCTATAATTATGGGTAAATAAACTATTTCGACTGGGCCATTTTCCATGGCTATGTTAAATAACCAGAGGGTAAATATTTTACTGTAACCTTCCAGTTTGTGGGTCGAGACCTTCAAAACGACGGTCATACATGGTCATACTGGGTTCCAGTATACAGACATGTATCTGGGTTTGTCTGAAAAAGGGAGATATAATTATTATATGTGGACCCCCAAACGGCAATATTAAGAGGGAAACATGATTATCAATAGAACAAAGCGCTGGAACAGAAAGGATTACGGTGGTATCTGGTCAACTGGAAGTTTCCGGGCATCGGGCATCCCAATCACTAGGATTTTTTGTCCCGAATCCTCCCAGTGGTTGTCCAAAAAACTCCCAAGAAATACACCATGTAGTGCTGGCTTTGGCAGGGTCAAACTTCTGTAAACACTCAAGCATGGCAATGATGAACATGGCCGCTCTTTTGATGGAACTCCCCAGTTTTTGGATCGGAAATCATAGGAAAGTATAATCTTTTCATGGTGGAATTTCCAAAAACTGTAGCTTTAATGACCCTTCACCCCTTCCTGAACTTCCCTAACCAACAACTTCCATTGAACTCTTTGATGCCAGGAATTGTCGGTCCCTTCAACGGTGAAAATCCGCTTAGTCAACAATCACGAGCTGCAGGTGTCAGTGGAAGCTGGTGTGTCCGATGGTTTTTTTTGGGAACATTTCACCATGAAAAATATGCCTTTTAAGCATCAAACATATGGGGATATACTGTATAATTACTTGATAAATGATGGTTGATCGAAGATGTAGTTGGGGATCATCATAGTCCATCGCAATCCGAAAACCCATTCACCAACCATTAGAAGTTTTTCAGGGCTTTTCCAATAGGTTTTCCGTAAGATGGGGAGCTATTTGTGGATGCAGATCCTTGTTGCAATGCGATTTGTACTCTGAAAATCTAGGATTGGGCTTTCGGGTTGCGCTTTCCATGTTAAATCATATATTATATAGGTCAACAAACCATATCCCGAATCTCAAGTTTATTAAGTTTTTGCAATTGATTGTTTCTGTTGTTTTTTTGTTGCGTGCCAACATCAGATACAGTACCCCAGAAATCATATATGTTGGTTTATTCTTATTTTATAGTTTATATATATATAGTATATCCCATGTATATTCCCATTTATATTCCCATTAAACCTATGGACCTATGGATTTTATTCGACATTTGCTTCGTCTCCGCAGGACACCTTAAACTTGGTCTCCCGATTGGAGGTGTGCCACAAACATCTGCAAACATCAAACCTCGGACTCAACGCAGTTGTGATGATGGAACATGCTAGGAACATGTGCATGTTCACGTATACACAGATACATACATATATATATAGTATATATATATGTAGTATATATATATATATAGTATATATATATATATATGTAGTATATATATATGATCGAGAGACCCTTAGGTACCATTTTGTTCCGGTTAATTCTGATAATTTTTAGAGCCTTTTGGATAATTGAGAGGATTTAAAGAATTGAATGAGTTAAAGCTTACTGAGATGTCAGACTTTGGCGCAAGAACCCTCATCCTGTTCTACAATTTGCTTCCACGCGATGTCGATCTACGATCGTGTTGTTTCAAATCATTCGAGCTTGGCTCCACCTGCAGGTCGGGCCCTGACTCTCTGCTACCAGCAAAAGGGTACAGTCACTGACAGAATTAAGGAAATTAGAAAAGGTTCGCGCGTCGCAGGTATCGGAAAAGGTTCGGCCCCGACAAAAAAGATCGAATCGGGGTGATGAGACCGATCAAGACTGGTCAACGTCCAAAATCAAACAAAAAAACAAAGATGAGACAAATGTCTACAAAAGCCTCTAATTCACGATGCAAATTTTCGGATACCTGGTTTAGAGTGTTTTTGCATGATTTTGGGACTAAATCCAGATTCAGTTTTTGGGATCCTTATGCTCCAAATCCTGGTTTACAGCATATTTGCATGATCCTGGGATTAAATCATAAGGGTTACCATATTCTGCACTGTAGCCATGGCAAAAAGAGTTATGGAAACATGTCAATAGAAAAGTTGTCACCCTTTCATGTAAACAAAATAATTATGGAAGAAGCACCCTCACTTGGAAAAATACGGAAATTTACCTGCAGGACACCCATGCCCCATCGCAAAAGGCTCGGTAGACGCGATGAGAGAGATTTAGATTTCTGCATTTTTTTGAGGAAAACAGAATTATGGAAATATACGGCCCGACGCGACGCAGATTTTTACCGACCCATGCCGAACCTTTTTTTATTTCCATAATTGTGTCGGTGACCATAAATTATAACGGCCTCACCGGGAATCATGGTTAATAAGGGGAATCATCCCCAAATGGCCTTAATTCAGGTTACTGAAATATTGTAATTTACCCAGACATACACGGTATACGTGCAGATCTGCGGTTCTGTCGTGTTTTTGATATACAATGTAAAATGTAAAATAAAACCCATGAGCAAAGATTGTCTATAGATATTTACATCATACATATATATATATATATATATATGTATAGCCTACGGTAGATCAACAGTAGTACTAGAAAGACCGCGTCTATGGATTGCCCTTGGGATAGTTTGGACCCTCCAGCCTACCTGCAGGCTGCTGGCGCATCTGTGCTATGCCTGCATGGTAGGACCAAGGAGCCAAGGGCAGAATGGCTGTTCAGCTGAACCATGACTGTTGCACATGGGTTGTTAGTTAGTTAAAATCATTGTTATTACCTAATAGTGGGTTGTTACTCGTACTTTATATAACAATGAAGAACAATGGCTTGTTATTTAGCCCAATAATTATATTTATACCCGTTTTGCTTCATAAAAGAGCTTTCAGTTAATACGAACTGGCAACAATAGTGGTTGATGGTTAATAGTACTGGGGAAAAAGGCCAGTAACTCAATATTCACCAATGAAACCAGATTGTATGGGGCTTATATATATATATATATCCTACCTGGTTTGTTTCTTGGTGATAATTACAAGCCACAATTCACAATTAAGAGGATATCTCTTCTCCAACCGATAGGGGTCCAAGGTGGTGGACACTCAGATGGCAAATTACAACTTTTTTTCTTTTTCCATGATACCACCATATATGTATCCATTATATATACATTTTTTTTAAAATAAATTCTATCTACATATGAAAACATATTAATTTCTATTAGGTATATGTATATATATATATTGTTTGTATTATTAGTTAATTAATTAGAGTATTCCCTATTGATTTGTATATTAGTTAGTTAATTAGACTATTCCCATCACTTTCCCCCGGAGACCCCGGAGGAGATGAAGGGTCAATTCACCGGGCCCGCGGACTGGGCTCCGGACCTCAGATGGTCGGATGGTGCCGGGGAATGAGTCGAATCGATGGGAAATATGCACATATAGTACTTGTAGCTGGTATGCAAATAGTATAAAAAGATAGCTGAGAATAGAGATGACATACATATATATATATATATACATATATATATATATTATATATATATGTATGTATATGTATATGTATATGTATATGTATGTATATATAGATATGTATATGTACATGTATATGTACATATATATATAAATATGTAAATAGATGTGTACTTATATGTAAATATATATATATATCTATATCTATATATGTATATATGCACATATACCTTTCCAAAAGATGATATATATCAATATTATAAATAGCACATACATATATATATATATACATACAATGTCAGCCACGAATATCAGTTGAAATGGAGATGATATGAGGGTTTGCTAAAATGGGATATTTTAATGTCACCATGAGGGTTTGCTAAAATGGGATATTTTAATGTCACCATGGGTTTTTAATACTCTACTGGGCATCCATGACGTTTCAGGAAACATCAATATAGCTGATATAGCTGCGATATAGTTGGTATGTAGCTGAGATATAGATGAGATATAACTGAAGCATGGCCAATGTGTAGCTGATGTATAGCTGATGTGTAGATGGGGATATGTTTTTCTATTGATATACCAGGCATGGGGATACAGTGAATGCCATACATCACCCAACAGATCCCATTTGAGATTCCAACACCTTTGTGACGATGTGTGGTATTTTTTTCAATTGCGGGATTTGCGCATCCCAAGACGTTTCAAGAAGATTCAAGAACTGCCGATCTCTGGCAACCTTGGGTCGCGAAACATGGAAAAAAACGGTTTTAGGTTCCCAAAAATCCTATGGTGAATCATCATAGATGATTCATGTTTTCAACATGTTGAAGCTTTCATCCAGCCTGGTTCACAAAGACCAGTGACACAAGTTCACGAATCAATAGCTGCAGCTGTGATTCCGAACCTAGGATGCCATCGCAGCTGTTCGGAAACGCGTGGGAATCCCATTGATTGCCAACGGCGGCATTCAGACGCATCCCTTGCTCGCTTGCCACCCAAAACTGACTTTGACCCATTCCGTCAATACTCCAATCCCCCATTCATATTAAACACTTCCATTCTATTATTTCTATGATCCCAAATTATGTGATTTCATACTCTACTAGACCATGGTTTCTGGGGGTGTTAAATGTTAAATTCCACCCCCCTTTAACCCTGGAATGTTTGGGGGGGAGAAATTTCTGAAAAATATTTCGCCTGACCACATGACATATACCCCCTTCCATGTGTTTTTTTGGCTTTCAAAAGGGGTGGGGGTCCTCCGGATGCCATGTTTTAGCCTAGATATGGTATGGCAGACCCTTTCATTTTCAATATGCATCTGTGTATATATATATATATACAAATAGAATAATGTAGACACATACACATAGATGCTAGATAGGGTTAGCCCCGGCAGATACCCAGAAACCATAAAATATATGAAGGGGGGGACCCATCTGGAACTGTAAAATGCCATAGTTTTGCACCTCCCCCCACCCAAAAAATCCACTATTTCATTTTGTACATTCACCGGTAATGACATTTCTAACAGCCGTAAAATACCATGGTTTTGTACCTCTTCCCACTCAGAAATTCCACCATTATCAGTGGTTGCAACCGCGGTGGAAACCAAGGTCTTGTAAACTATGGTGGAAATGTGCGATTTAACCCTGAAAACTCTTCATTGCCCTCTTTGCTTTTGGCTGCCATGCTGCTTGCATTATCAGCTGGAAATATTTCTAGAGTGGGGTGGGGGGGTTGCCCCCCGCCTTTTTGACATATTTCAGCTTTTACCCCTTAAAGTGCCTTACAGGAGTGGGATTATTTTCCCATGACATCCTATGAAATCTGTATTTGTGAACAGTTAAACCTCCAAAAAAAAAGGAGGGATCGCATTGTATAGATGATACCTCCGAGATTTTCGGGGCCTCTGGCTCCACTTCAAAGAAAAACATTCCTAAAAGGTTGCCTGAATATATTTTTGTGGGGGATATATTAATGTCAACCCTGGATTATCCCTAGGCTGTTTAATTGGGATGGTAGTATTGGAGGAGTACCCCCCCCAATTAATAAACCATGGTTTATTAATCCGGGGTTGACATTAGATCCTTTGTTGGTACAGAAAACAATGGTTTGCCATGAAATGTGTGCATCCACTGTTTAACATGTCCCTGAAAACAATTCTACAAATCATTCATCCAGTTTTGACCCATCACCATATGTTCGACTATTTTTGTTGATTCTGTTCTAGATTCTAGATGATGTCTGAAACCCAACAATAATCTTTATACTATTTTTCATCAACCAAGCCGTGTCAAAGGGTTTCATCAACTATCTTCGAATCTTCGATTTCATCAACTATACACCAACCTTTTGATGATATATATATATATACATATCATATATATATACATATCATATATATACATTATATATACATTCCTTTTTTGGTTAATCCTCCACTTTACGGCTCAAAACAATCAAAGCAAGGGTCGTTTAGGGTTTCAGGTAGATATATAATGTATATATATGTATATATAATATAATATATTATGTTGTATTATATCATACCATATCATATTATATTAGATTATATTAGATGATGTTTTATTAAATGATATTATATTATATTGTATTACATTGTATTTTATTATATTGTATTATTTTATATTAGATGATATTATATTATATTATTTTATGTTATATTATACTAAATTTGATTTTACTATATCGTATTATATCATATTATATTATACTATATTTTATTTTATTTTATTTCTATTATACTATATCATATTATATTATATTACATTATACCATATTTTATTTTATTTCTATTATACTATATCATATTATATTATATAACATTATACCATATTTTATTTTATTATCTTATACTATATTTTATTTTTTTTATATGATATTATACTATATTGTATTATTTTATATTATACTATTATAAAATAAAACTTCTATTCTATTCTATTATATTTTATGATTCTATATTTTAACATATTATAATATATTACATTATATAGACATATATACATACATATATATAATATACACTTACTTAACGTGTTATAAAACATCGTCTCCAATATTTCCATCCCAATTAGACGATGTCTTCATCTTCCGTTGTGCCAGGTTCCAAGATGTGGAGCGCTGCCTCCAAGCCACGGGCGCCAATGCGGCCGGGAAACCCGAGGGAAAGTTGAGGCTATGATGTGAAAAACGAGCGTTTCCACTGGCTACCCTCTGGAAAACCATAGGAAAACCATAGGAAAACCATAGGAAAACCATAGGAAAACCATAGGAAAACCATAGGAAAATGGTGGTTTAATGGGATTTGATGGGATATAACCTCTGGTAATTTAACATAGCTATTGAAGATGGCCATAGAAATAGTGGATTTACCCATCAAACATGGTGATTTTCCATAGCTATGTTAGTTTACCAGAGGGTATTCAACAGGATTCTATCAACAATACTTGGGATATCTTATTAATTGTGGGGGTACCATCCAAATAGTCACAATATGATACATAAATGGTATCCCCCACAATTAAACAGCCTAGGGGTTTATTAATCCAGGGTTGACATTACTTGGGATATCTTGGGATATAACATGATATAACGGCCATGATTGCTCCACACTAAGCCTTGGAAAGCAGCGCCCATCACTCCGACCTGCATAGAGGAAATGGAACATATGCGCCTGGACACAGGAGCGGAGGGCAATGTTATGATTTTCTACAATGGCTATACTTACTGGTGCTTAGTAGGAATGGATGGGAATGGGGGAATGGGATGATTATTACTAGTGATTGTGGATCATTCCCTCATTCCCTCCTATGCACCAGTGAGTATCTATGGAATATCTATGATTGGAATATAATATCTAGGGGATATCAATGGCTATAGATCAATAAACCATTTTTGATGGTTGATAAACTACTATGTTGATTGTGGCAATGCCATAAACCACCCATGACTGGGAATGGTAAACCTACCCCCTATAAAAATTGTGATGACTCGGGTATGGCTTATGACATTGTTTTACCGTTTTACCCACATTAGTGGAGATACAGTAGGGGATATAAATCGGTTATACCATGGAACATGTGGTATATATATGATATTAATGGGAGATATGATATATGGGATATATGAGAATATATTTTCCAACATGTACCAACCACATGGAATATATGGGCTCTTTTTGGGGGGCCCAAAAACGCTGGTTTTGCTTAAGGTAATGTTTTCCTAATGGGACATCCACCATGTGAGGGGACCTTTTTGGGGAATCTGGTTGATTTTTGTTGGAACCCCTTAAGCAAATCCAAGGAGAAATTTATTCTGCCATTCAAAATGTGGTTTATCTGCCGTGTTTCTTCATGTTTCTGCTGCGTTGGATCCTTTGAACTGTCATTTTTCGTGGCAAAAATTTCAGACCACGACCAGGGCGGTCGTTTCAATGGAGGTCGTTGGGGAGACAGGTCATGTCCTCGGAAGCTTTATTGGAATATCCTGCGCTCTTCTGTCCTACGAGGCGCGTGGAAAGGGGTGGAAAAGGTGGAAAGGGTGGATGGTTTCTTTATTATAGTGGGGAATGATTCGGAAATGATATCTGTAATGACTGATAGCATCCATTAACAATAGGACATTCCTAAAAGTTTTTTTTTTTTATTTATTGGTACTTAGTAGGGAATGAGGGAATGATCTATACTAAGTGTAAAACAATCATCGCAGTCCCCCATTCCTTACTAAGCTCCATGTATTTTTTTTAGATATCCAGCTGTAGGGTGGGGAAAAAGAATTGGAACACCATTGGGTAATTTTCCGTTCGGAAAATGGTTCGACAACATGTTTGGTGGCTGATTTTTGCAAGACTAGCCCCATAGTAAACCAATCTGTAGGTGGTACCCATCAATCCATGGGAGGGTGCGGTTTATGACATTGCTTGCAAGTACGATTAGTGACGCTTGGAGAAGGATTGGTTTTCTGGTAGATATAGCCTCTGGTTATGTCAAAATAGCTATTGAAAATGGCAATTTATAGTGGATTTACCCATTGAAAATGGTGATTTTCCATAGTTTTTTTTGTATGTTTACGAGAGGATATAAACAATCTATAAACCACCTGATGGGTTCGCATCTTAATCTTCGGGCAAGTTGCCAAATTACCACACTGGGGGAAGAACCATCCGGCTAAACCAGCTATGACTTAAAAGGGTACCAGGCTTATCACCCAGAACCACATGAGTTCAATGGCCACAGGAAACGATTTTTTGGAGGTACCTATATACCATATATAGGGCCTATGTAAGGGCTATGTAAGGGAATATCCCCACAAAATATGGCCAATAATATGGTACAGTACCTCAATTTTAGGGTCCTGAAAATCCCTTTGGTGAAGTTTTTTTATTTCATGGTCAAATCCCTATTTATTGTTGGCAAATCCACAGTTGTCGCTGGCATTGTGAACCTCACGTTGGAGATAAGACATGGCCGTTTAGTCTGAAACTGGGTGGAAAATTACAATTTCCCTACCACTGCGGCCATTCTGGGGTCCCATCTTCCAACAGGCCCATATCATATCAGTTGGCTATAGTCTGTAAACGTTTCCAAGCATATCCCCCATTCTATATACATTTAACTATACGTATATTTAGTTTCTGGGTAAATTATAACGACCTCACTGTTCGACCTCACTGGAATTATGGTTAATGAGGGAAATTATCCCCAAATGGCCTTAATTCAGGTTAGTGACATATTATAATTCACCCACATATATATATATTATGAGTATGTATTATATATATATAACCCAATGATGGGTGGTTTCATTTCCAAATCTGGCTGTTGTAACGATCCCATGTCGAAAGGTCGGTCTACCAAGACGAGCTTGCCTTGGAGTGCGTTGCCTTGCCGGGGCTTGACGTTGGTCCCAACGTTGGAATTTCTTACCAAGAAGTTGATCAACTTGAATTAGATTCTTGGGGAGATAAAGTTGATCAGAAGTACTTTCCTTTTTTTGGAATATCTATAAATATATATATAGTTATATATATATATATATTCACCAAGAATCTACAGCACTTTAGATCTTCTATTTTTAGTTTTATACTAACTTCATGTAACTTATTAACTTCAAGTTATATAGGCGACCCAATGTCATAAACCATCCCTCAGTCATCGCCATGTAAAAATGGGTGGTATAGGCCATCCCCAAATGCGAGTTGTTTATTGGCTTGCTCACATTCCTATTCATCTATTCAATCTATTCACCAATAACGAGTTCTCTTAGAACCCAAGTTGTATACCCCTCAGGTAATTTTTAAGCAACGCCAGGGCGGGGTGCAGGTACTTGGAACTGGCCAAGTTGTACCAAACACCTCACAAGCAGATCAAGGCGTGGAACGTGGATGACGTGTAGATCTCGAACAGTTGATGGTACAAAAAATCTCCACGTTCTCCGAAGTGGAAGTGGAGAAAACCAGAGTTTTGGCCAGGTCATGAAACTGGGTTTTCTATCCAGTTTCTCAAAGCTTGGGGTAGCCTAAACACATCGAAAAACCTTGGTTTCATCGTTCAACATGATCAATTTTGAATGATAAAGAAGCTGCCCCCAAAACATTAGGAAACCACCATTTTTTGCAGTTCTGATCAACTTGGTTTCCAGTCTTCGAAGGCCGAGTCAGTAGATTTCAAATGGTCGTTCGATTCTCCAAAAGGGTACCCACGTTTTTCATCCATTTGCGGAGTGCGAAATCACATGCAACTTTCTTTGTGTAGTGATCATGAGATATGGCTATGGGCCTATGGGTCAAAACTCTGGTGCATCTAAAGAGCCGGTAGTTAGTGTCCCCCCAAAAAATATATTGATCTAATGTGGGCAAAACAATAAGAAACCATCCCCCAGTCATCACCATTTTTATAGGTGGTATGTTTATCATTCCCAAATGGGTGGTTTATGGCATTGTTTTACCCACATTATATTACGAATGATTGATGACCAGGGATCCATAACAAAGTTTATCAACCATCAAACACGGTATATTGATCTATAGCCATTTATATCCCGTAGATATTCCAATCATAGATATTCCATAGATATTCCATTTAAGAAAATCATAACATTGCCTTCAGGCGCATATGTTCCATTTCCTCTATGCAGGTCGGAGTGATGGGCGCTGCTTTCCAAGGGTTCTTAGTGTGGAGCAATCATGGCCGTTATATCCCAAGTATTGTTGATAGAATCCTGTTGAATAGCCAGTGGAAACGCTAGTTGAACGTCATACCCTCATGATCCCTCATGTTTTCAAACACTTGCAGTGTTTTTAACAATTTTTGCAGTTGTATTCCCAGCGGTAGCTCAAGGCTGAGGTTTCCATGGGATAACAAGCTGCGACATGTATGCACTAACATAGCCGTCAAAATCATTGTGTTGCAGACGACTCTCCTATCTCATCG